GCAAATGGCCTTAGAACAAATCTGAGTAAGGAATGACTCCAAAGACTGGGAAGCTGCTGGTCTTTCCCTCAGGTTCAAATTCTAAACTGCCCTGAGAGGGAATAGTTGTGAAGTTGCGAAGTTGTGAAGTTCTCTGTTGCAAGACAGGGAACCTTTGGATCCATACCTTTTACTACTTTTGGAGGGGGGGCGGTGTCCATGAGGAAGTTGTCTTGTCGAAATGAATGTGTCAGTTTTGCCATATCCACTACTGTATGACATGTCCATTTACATTGGAGAATTTCCAGACAGTTTCCTGATAATGCCTTACCTTTTGCTTTCTGGCAAAAAAGCAGATCTGTGACTCATGTCTTCATGGACTTGCTATCGCACTGGAGAGTTTCTAAGAAAGCCACATGATCCTCTCCAAACCTGGAGCTTCTGAATCAAGTGACGGCCTAAGTAGCACGCTTTGCCTCTTTGGTTGAATAAAATTGGAATATTCATCCTGGTGCAGTCCCTTTCTTTTTGATGTGATGTAGCTGAATTGCCACAAGAATGATTCCTGTTTCTCTAAAACTCTGCTAGACCCTACACATTGTAGTTTCAGCCCCAGGCATCCCACGTTCCCAAAGATTCATAGATAGTTTGGATTTCCACAGCAGCCCCTTTGTCCAGGACTCTGGGCAGTTAAAGGTCAAGAAGAATTCAGTGCCTAAAACCCAGCAAGTTGCTCTTAGTCATGAAACCACAGAATAGAATAACATAAAAGAAGTTTCAACCCGCTCTACCTAAATGAGCCACCAAGTCAAGTATAATGAAGTAAAATACCATTTATTAAAAACCACCGTGTGAGAAGATAAAGCTTTTTAAGTTTATCCAATAGTCATAATTCATTTGATTGGTCCTACACGAATCAAGCATATCTTGTCTTCACCATTAACCATGCAAACTTAGCATCGGAAAGTACATTCGGCAGTGTCTGCAGAGGCACGAACTCCGTCCCTCGTAACAACAGACTTTAGACTTGTTACCTATATACAAATACAGTTTCATCAAAAGCTAACCAAACTATCCAATTTCCAGGCGGGGGAGTACTGAAAATAAAACTAAAACTATGCCACTTTGTGGAATTTCTGATGGAGTACAGGTATTAAGAAATACTACTTTTCCCACAGAAGCAGTGTGCAAACACTAACAATTTATATGGGATCTCTTGTACTAATCGATAAGGATGGGACGGGCAGAAACACAATATGGAGCTGCTTCTGCCTTCATTTGTGTAACCACTTAGATGCAAAGTTCAAGGAAGACGAAGAACTTCCCTAATAGAAGTTTTTGAACTGATGGAACAATGCTAAAATAGGACGCCATGCAAGAAACAACTAATTTTAATCATTCTGGAATGTTACAAGACCTAGAGAGTCATGGATTCCTCACACTTAAAAGCTTCTAGCAAAATGTCTGATAGTAGCTTAGATGTCATTTTTTAAACAGCTAACCCCTCCCAAACTCCCACCCTTAATGCTTGTAGGCGTGATTATGAAACAAAGCCAATGCATTGTGCTAACCCAAATTTGTTTAATAGATCAAGGAAATAGCACTGCATTTTCATTCTGCAACTTGTAAGCTTCCTTTTTTTTTTCATAGAAAAAATAAAGGTGATCTCCAAAACAGAAAGAAATCTACTCCGGCAAAGCATCAACAAGTCATTTGTTTATTTTACCTTAAAATAAAGGCAGGCCAAGTACAGATACTGTACGTTAAACAGACGTGCCAGCGCTTCCAGATGGATCTTTCAAGTCCGACCTGTGCATTTCTCAGGGCGATCCACCGGATGGAATCGTCTGCTGCAATTGGTTAGATGTAGAGCGAACCGTCTGTGGGACCCACGTACCCAACTCCAATCAGTAGCACATCTATCAGCGTCCAGATTCCCAGGCCGCCAAAACTGAAGAGCTTGCCTAGACCTTCCCGCCACTGTCCCAGGTAGAACCGGTCTGCACCAAAGCCGCCAAGCGTGATGCTGGAAGGTGACACGAGAAGGGGTTAGCGGCTGTCCAGCCCTATTGATATCTGCAGCAAAGCAAGCGAACGCATTGCAAAAGGCAAGGGCTGTGCAAATACTGATTATATTGATTATATTGACCAATAATACGAGGCACTGAAAGAAGCCCTACCAATGTGATGAGTAAAAATACCAAAGAATTTTGCTTATTTTCATCGCTCAATAAAAAAACCCCTGGAAGTATTATGACATATCCTGGCTGGAAACACGCCCATACACAACTAATGGTAATGAAAGTAAAGCAGGAAAATAGAGTGTATTCGGAACTTTATGTCTTGCTATTCAAACGCAAGCTCTTGCAGATAGCAAAATATAGTATCGGCCTATTGTATATGAAAATGAAAACCAAATATCCAAGAGGCACGAGAAAATTTAAATCAGTGTTTCTCAACCTTGTCAACTTCAAGATGTGTGGACTTAATTCCCAATTCTAGGAGTTGATATCCACACATCTTAAAGTTGCCAAGGTTGAGAAACACTGATTTAAAGGTTCTCAACTGGTACAAATATGAGATCTAGGACCAGGCTAACCTCTCCGCAAAGAGAATCGTGTAGCTGGGGTGAAATTCTAGAGAAAGTCCTATCTCTGATGGGGATGGGAGCTAAAGAAGGAATTCCAGAGATCTTGCCATATACATAAGCAGGTAAGTATAATCTCTTTAGGGCTTCCAAGATTGTCACGAGTACCTCTGAATGGTCCTGGAACTAGGGTGACTTATTTTAAATCTGGCCCCACTGCTCCCTCTAGGAGAAAAGGATCTCATGCAGGCTAATGACAATTCAAGGACAGCAAGAGAAATTAAATTAGGAGGATGTTCTCATCCTATTTCAAAGGCGGAGAACATGCATTCAAGTGGCCATTAAGGGCAGAAATAGACCAGTGGTCTAATGTTTCATCATCAAAAGCAACTCCTAAGAGATACAAGGAGAACTTCAAGCAGTGGGTCAGGTACACGTGACAGAATTCATTTAACAAATAGATTTCAATTTCTTTCCAGCAGCCTGGTTTTAAACACTTTTTTAAAGCACTATTCAAATATAATACAAGGTACCCAGACATTGGACGCTTCTTTTCCTACCTTAAGGCCAAGGCTGTTGACCATTTGTAGCCTCCAGTCCAGTTGCAATAAAGCATCTTGGGAAAAGTACGATTTCCTTAAAACAAACACATGTAAAAAATCTTTATCAGTAGGATCACAAAGATGCCAGTGCAGAAAATAAAAGCAAGGCAGAGCCGGATCAAAGCGTTCTTATCACTGCCAAACTGGTTGTCCCAACAAAGGTAGTATCCCCAAAGAGGCACATCTGGGGGGGGGGGGAGAGAATTAGGGAGCATCAGTTGCAGCCTTTCAAATAATAAACTTATTATTTATTTCATAATGCAAAGCTAAAGATTTACAAGTCAAGCTTCTGGGCACTGCAGGAAACCAGGACAGGTTACCCAAACAGGTGAGAAAGTCTGGCTCACCTAGACAATGAATGTGGTCTTTCACGGTGCAGTTGGCACTGTAGCGTTCTCGTGGGCATGAGACTGTCTTGCAGTTTGTAGGATTGGAGCAAAGGTAGTTTGAGGGTGGTAGCTGCCAGCAAAACTGGCAAGTCATGTTGATCAGAAAGGTCTTTTGAGGGTTGTTGTTTTGATCCTGCAAAGGAAGCAGAAAAGGTCACCCTCCTTTTGAAAGCAATTCACAGCTTAGATCAGGCTGGCTGGGGAATTCTGGGAGTCGATGTCCACACCTCTTCAAATTGCCGAAGTGGAGAAACTTAGACTAAAAGTAATCATGATGTGATTCAGTCTCAGTAGAAATTAAAGCTATTGAACCAAACAATTTAAATAATGAAGTTTTTGCTAGAAAGTTGAGTCTTCTGTAACTGTCCTCTTCAAATAAACAGATCCCACCCCCAGCAAGAAAGGAATGCTTCGAATCAGTAGGATAAAATAATGCTTGACATTCAGTCTTTCCTGAACCTATTAAGAAAATGACTTTTTCCTATTTGAAGTAAACACCATGGTGTATTGTCATGTTGTGTTTGTTTACAAACAAATGTTTTTACTCACAACACAATGGACCTGGGATTTGGCTTCACATTCAAAGGTAACTGGTTTGCCATAGACACAAGAGTAGTTTGTTTTACACGTCATACATTCTGCAGGCAATCGGCTGCAAATCCCATTGCTGGGGCATCGGGTCACATAAGCTGGAACTGAGGTACCCTCTGAGAAATAAAATCCAGTTAAAAAAAAAGCTTCAGTATCTTCTATAAAATAACAACGTATGAAACTTCTATGAGTCTTTGCCATTACTCTCCTCTGAATATGTATCTGTTGTACATATTTTAGCAAAATATCACTCAATTCTACAAGTAGCCATCCTCCATTCAATGGGCGTTACTCCTAGTTAATTGGTACAGCACAACCGTGAACATGTGTTTCTTAGAGGTAGCCCCCACCCCCACCCCAGCTCCCAAAACTGGGTGAGTCCTGCTTCCTGGTAATTATGCTTAACCTATTATAAATATTTTCACGAGGCAGTGACTTTTCTCCAGAGGGAATTACGGATGCCTGTCATCTGCAAACACAAGTGACCGACTCTTTTCAGCAGAGAAGAGCAAACTATAACATTCAAAAATAAAACAAATGAGGAAAGAGGCCAGAAAATAGCAGATCCTTTGGATTAAGCTGATCCACGTGAACTGTACTACTCATGAACTCCAAAAAAAGCTTTGCTGGAATGTTTCAGAAAGCAAAACCATTCCAAAACCATACCACAGGATTTTAAACATTACATACCTGGTACTTTAGAGGCTGGAACATGCGTGCTTGTAGGGACTCCTGCAATCTTTGAGAGTGGAACTTGTGGAGGAGAATGCTCTAAGCTGAGCGACCCTGGAAAAGCGGAGAGAGGACACGATAGACTCTGGACTGGTGTCTTTCAACCTTGGCAAGTTTAAGATGTGTGGACTTCCACTCCCAGAATTCCCCAGCCAGTCATGTTCACTCATCTAAGTCGATAAGGTTGAGAAACACTATTCTGGACACTACCAGTATATCAATGTCCAGCACTGTCTCCAGACTAGAATGGTAGATACAGGATTAAATCCATGGGGGCCCTGAGAAAGAGCACTGAGAAAAGGACATGGTTTACATGTACTCTGCTTCTGCAGAACTAATCTGAAACCTGAGCATTGGCACCGTACCAAATCCCTCACTCTCCCGGATGATTCCAGTCTAGTACACTAGCATTGTTAGAAATGCAGGGTCATATAAATTACTTTTTAATAACAAAGTTCCGTGCCCCGATTTTCACTCTTGCAAAGCTCTCCGGCAAAAGCTTTTCACCCTGCACAAAGCTGTAATTCACATGACCATCCGTCTCCATCGTAACCCAAGCTATGAATTATTCTCAAAAGGACAGTTCTGTTTTCTGCTTCCTTTGCCAGAGCAAAGCAATGATCACCAAAAGACCTTCCTTTTTTTTCTAAGATTTTTTTATTTCACATTAACATGCACAATTAACAAAGCAATCTTTAAACTTAAAAAAAATATAGAAAAGACTGGAGTCAAACAAACTAAAAATACAAAGAAAGAAACAAAAAAAAGAAAAAAACAGCTACCTTATATTTTATACTTATCAACAGTCACTGGTTTACTAATCAATACACTACTATAATTAGGAGAAAATATTACTGCAAAATAGCCCAAAATCTCTGCCATAGTTACATATATTGCTGCACCTTTGTTCAGTAGAAAATCCAAAGATGTTTGTGGTCCACCTTAGAAAAGTCCCTCAGAAGCAGCTTTGGAAAAAGCCCACCTGAGCTCTGAAGGTCTGCATCCCTCGGAAGTGACTCCACCCAGGTCTGGGGATGGCTCACATGGGACATGCATGAAGGATGTCCCTGCATGAAGGATCCCCCGAGACTTGCATCACGCCAGGATCACCTTCCAACATCACTGCTGTGTGTGTGTGAGATGGAGTGTTTTGTGGAAACAGCAGAGCCTTCGCACGGCCCCGTGGCAGCTGCAAGCCCCTTAAGACCCGGCTTTTCCCCACCACCGGGCATTAGGGATGGGTTGAGTGGGAGTCCCCCTCCGAGACTGTTTTGTTGTGGCCATTTTACAGTTGGTATTTATATTTTGTTTGTTTGTTTTTCTTTCTGATTTATCAGGTGTTTATGTTGCACAACCCCCCATTAGGGTGGCTGAGTCGGGTGGCTTTGTAAATCTCGAAACAAACATTTTAATGCCCCAATCCAACCCCCATTAGGGGGGCAGCAATTTTGAGCCACCCTCTCTCCATCCTGCACCTGGCCCTGTATTTTTCTTTTTTTTACCCCGCTTTCAACCCACTCCTCTCGATGGGGAAGCCCTGCCCAGGCGATCCCTTCATCAGCCTGCAGAGCCCTTTTGACCCACCGGCGGGGGAGGAACTGAGGGGCCTCGTAGAGACTCCCCCCTCCCTCCAGAGAAGACCTCCGTGGGGTCCCTAATCCCCGCGACGGCAGAAGCCCACCTGAATCCGCCTCAATGGAAGGCAACTCCAGAAGACTGGGGAGGAACAAGGCTTCCTTGAACCTGTGCAGAGTGCGCTCCCCAGCTGGACACACTCTTGCACACTCACGGGCTTGCACGCTCGCGTGGAGAAAGAGCCCCCCCACCAGAGGGGGCGCCTGGGACCCCCAACCCTCCCTCATAAGCAGCCCGTCCGGCTGAGCCCCGCCCTCAGGAGGCTGCACGGATTAGCATAATTAATTAATGGGCTTATTCATTACGGCGGAGAAACAAGCCGGGGGCCGCTTCGCCCCTCCCACCCCCGCGCCTCACCCCGGCCGGAGAGGACGTAGAGCTGCGAGAGGAAAACGGCGACGCAGCAGAGCCTCTTCAGCGCCCGCAGCGCAGCCATCCCTACCGCCGCCATCTTACCCTCATCCGGGG